AAGATTAAAACTTAGGTGGGGTTCTCATGACATGACATTGTGTTTGTTTACGATGCTGTAAAAATTAAATGATGTTATCAAACATTGTAATATGACAAAAGGAAAGAGTTTTAGATAAGAAAAAAAGTAACTACTTGTTATAAAAAAAGTAGAAAAACATGGAAATGTCAATAGGTTTCAGCTTCCATGGAACTAAGTCTTGGAAGCTAAATAAATTATTGACATGTATTTTTATACAGATAACTAAATACAAATGTTTACTAAACATCGGCTCGGCGAACATTATACCTACCTTTGCCTTTTTAGATTTTTTTATTTAGATAAAACAAAAGAAAACCTACTTTTTCTGTCGTTTGTCATCTCTGGAAAAATATTAAGATAGCTGTGTGGACGTAAACATTACGTAATTTCCCGAACGCTTCCCATAAAGTTGGTAGAGTTGGTATCATTCCCACTTTTTAGGTCACGAGGTTGATTTATATTAGTGTTGTTGTTTATTTACATTGGCTGTATTAGTTTTCCCCTGGAAGAGTGTAAACATTACCTCGTCTGTTTGTATAGAGGAGGTAAGGTGCAAAATCGATGGAACCTGACTCCCAAGGTCCCTTGGGAGGGGCGTCAGATAACATTGTCACAGATTTATTGCAAACGTTTGAAAATACTGTGGAGTTAATAAAATTATGAACCTTTCAATGAAGATCTCCTTTTCTCTCAGCTTTGACCTAATATTGTTCATAGAAAAAATAAATAAGTTTTAACGAAGAAAAAAAGTCATATTGTGTTTAAACTTTCCTTTTAAGATTTCAAATTTTAGATCACTATTTAAGTAGTAAGAAAACATCAAAAACATTGAAAGCTAAATGATTTTATAAATACAAGTACGATAATAGCTTACAAATGTAGGTAACATATTTGATTTACCTATTAATCGGTCAAATTAAAACTCAAAGGATCCCGATCAAAGGTGAATCGGGTCATCTCACCAGGATGTCCTGTACAATACAGGATACTTGGCCATACTAATATCCATTATGTTTTGCTATAAAAACTGGTCAAAATGGAAATCTTGTATTTTTCATTTCTTTAACCTAAATTCAAGTTTGTAAAACAAATGGAAGCTTCAGGGATTTCCGTGTCAATCCAGAAACATTTGAAGTTCGGAATTGAATCGATGATATGGAATCTGACTCGTGAGGTCCACTGGGACGACGACCACGCAGGTGAGCGTTAGGCTACTTTATGTTTTAGATCCAGGACAGGTGAGTTCAATTTGGAATGCCATTGGCGCGATGGCGTAGCAAAATTTTATAGTTACTTAATTTAAGCTTATTAAATTGTTGGAAAGTATATTCATAGATTTAAAAATGTTATGAAATTGATTGTCCCAGAAGTTTGAGATAGTCCCTATAATTAATCGACGTATTCTGTGTTTTATTGTTCTTTTTATAGTAAAAATATGATGAAGCACAAGAAATAAAACACTTTAATATTTTCTCGTCTAGGTATACTGTCTTATGTACTTATGAAATCTTGTACGATATCTTTTTAAGTTATTACTCGGCAGCCGTCGTAGTTTGTCACACACAATCTTTGAAAAGTTACGTAAAATCCTCTCATTTCTGACAATGAAAAAATATTTTATATAAAAATTGTCAGGTAAGTACTTTTTTCTCAAGAATACTTATACTTTTCCACGTAAATACGAGTAAAGAATATTAAATCCAAACTTACACCCTTCAAAGTAATATTTTTTTTTATTTCTTCAGTTTTATTTCCTTCCCTTTATCTTTCCACGATTACTTCCCAAAGCTAGTTAATATAGTTACCAAGTTCCCGTAATATGATCCCAAACTCGCCTCCGAAGAATCGCCTAGAGCCCGAGTTGCTGAGTCTATACTAATCCAGTTAAAACTGTATGAAAGTGGTATCGATCAATGTTGACCCGCTATTTTAAAGGCCAGGGGTTAAACTATTGTGTGGTATGCACCACACAATAGTTTAACCCTAGAGGTAAAGTAAAATTAATCTGTGTTAAGAGCTGTACGCAACGAGTGCCTACTTATACGAGTATTTAAAAAAGGATGTTCTACACTACCGCGGTCCACTAGGTACCTATTATGAAATGTCAAAAAAGTAGTACATGGGTAGGTACTCAGTTTATTCGAGAAAATGATGCATGATAAACGGTGTAGTGAATGAAATAAATAAATTGATATATTAAAATGCTTATTATATGAAACTGTGCCTGTTTTAAAGGTGTTTTTCAAAATTTATATAACATTTCCTGTTAGTTCTATTGTTTATATTTCGTTATAATCTAAACTACACACAAGGTTATATTAGTTGGGAACCTATCGTATTATCAGTGTGTTAGGAAATAACTACCCACGGGGACATTCGTACAGCGACCACCTAGACGACGTTTTACCTTGAGTGATGTTTCCAAATATTTTGTAAGTAAAGATACCTAGGTGTTATTCTATTCACTAATAGCTAAATACCAGTATGTTAGATCTAAAACAAAAACAAAATAGCACAGTTAGAGGCAAGGCTTATTTGCTTTCTACATGTCAAAATTATTAGTAATCCTTTTTTAGGGATTTTAAAATACAAGCAGTAGGTATCCTATTTAATTTATGTTAAGTTCACTGGTCGGCAGATTACCTACTAAATTCGTCTCCAAAAACGGTGGGTAGTTTGACACAGAAATAATAACGAAAAACTGCTTCCATCTTTGGCAGATAAGATTGATGGTGGACTAACTTGTTATCAATCAATCATTTGAGACTCAGACAAAATTGGGATAACCTGTTACTAAGGCTGGTAAACTTCTTGTGAAACTGTAAGCGATTCGAACTAAAGTTGAGTAAATGGCAGCTGGAAATTAATTGATTAAATTAATGTCACCTTTAGGTTAAAGTTAGTATGGATTATGATGTCCAGCACTTCACCCAACGAAATTTTTATGGGTTCATCAATGAGAACAATAAAAAAAATAGTTTGCGAGATTTGTAGAGCCGCTTGTCAAGTGCTGGGCACTGCTGGGTCACACCTTTTAAAAATGATTCCATAAAAAATATATCATTTTTCTTAGCGATGTTTGCACAAAAAATGCTCCGAAAACTAAGTTGTATTCTTCTTTCGGAGACACATTGTGTAAGTAGCTTCTAATTTAATTTATTTAGCGTACTTTTTAATCTCATTTATGTGAGAAAAGCCGTAACTTCAGAGTAAAATTTTACGTAGATTTTATATTTTTACAATTTCTTTACCTTGAATGTAAATGTCGTAAAAGATTCAGACACCAGACGGGTATTAAACTCGCTCCACCGCTCGCGTCTCTATGCTTAAATATTTCACGCTTGTAATAAATAAGCTCCCAATTACTGAGGTGATGTTCCACGGTGTGCCAATTCAGGTTTAATTCCATTAATAATGTATATTTTTCCGCCATATTTTTATACATATCACACTGAAAATACTTTAACTTTTTTCTACAAAACTAAGTAGAGAAATAAATATCTTGATATTTTGTAAAACTAGTTTAAGGTCTGTTCCTGTTTGTGATTAATTAGCTTCTATTCAAATTCTACAAGCAGATACTAAGTATCTGTCAATGTTAGTATTATCTAATTCAAAGCGCTTCCTAACAGCGTACTACTTTCTTAGCAAGTTATTGTTGCCTTCGTTGTATAAAAACGATAATTAAAGCTTCACATTTCTCGTAAATGTCACATAGAGAGTATAAAAATAACAAACCTACATTCATTATGGGTTGTACATTTAATATCGCAGTCAAACTCCGTAATTAAGTGAAATGACTGCTACAAAATTTTGAATAAGCTTTTACGGTTTTGATATTTTTTAATTTACGACAGCAAGGAGCTTAAATGCTGTAACTGTTTGTGTTAAAATGTATTAACCAACTTAAAAGATAAATATTATGTTAAAGTGATTAATAATAATCGTAAATAAACTCAATATGATTATTCGTCTCATAATAGTCTACTTTTGCTCTTGTCACGTACTACAGTTACGCGGTTATACATCGCATTAGAAATGAATTATTATCATAATATTATGTAATGTATGAGAAAGTAATAACACATTTTATGATAAGTAAAATATTCACATTGCATACTAAAATCATATTGCCATAACGTCAAAGTAAGTATTAAGATATGATACCATGATTTTTGTCCATACAAATGATTTTCGTGTATCTTGTATGAATATGGATGGCTGATGTTACACATAGAAAAATCCAATATTTGTATTTCTAACCGACTAGATCTAGGCTAAACATAGACTAATCTATTAACGAAGGCAACTGTTGAAGCATTAGTTCTAATAATCTAGAGGCTCGGTTAAGCGGCCATATTCTAGGACGCCATGATTACGATTGTAATTAAACATCGCTAATTAGAAATGTCATTTTGATGCTAAAGATACATATAAAGGTTTTGTTTTTAAAGCCATATGAAAATTAGGCTTGTTGTAATACGTATAATATCGATCTACACTTTACCTAAAGGCATTTTCTAAATGTGTAGGGAAAGATGCAGTCGTACGTAGTCGTATGTAGTTAGGTACGTCACGATGTTCTGCTTGGTTAGTGCCTTTTCACTCTTGGCTTCAAGGCTTATTTAGGTCTAAAACTCGGGTTAAAGTAACCGAATAACGGAATATAAGGACAAAAAGAATATCTTGCCCCAATTAATCATTAAATTAGTGTAACTACAAAAAATTATTCCTAACAAACTATTTAATTTTATTTTCCAAACATTATTTGTTCTGCTGTTTAAAGATTTCTGGAGAGAGAATTAAAATGTATAGGTCATATTGTAATTCATGAAGTGTAATTTAACTTCATGAATTAAAATTAATAAAAATATAAATGTAAAATTAATATTATCAAAATGACATCAATACGTTCATGGGTCCAGAATAGGCCTGTGATGCTTCTAAACACAAATGAGCTTCACAAAACCTTGACTTACTCTGTGGTTTAAACGTCACTCGGTCTGAAATAACAAAATGAGACATTAATCCTGCGTCTGCGCCATTTTCGGCAACTTCGCTAACTACGTTTGACAGTTCATCGACAAAAAACGTCAAAAAATTTTTGTCAATCTCCGATTTATAATAATTGAGGCAGGTACTGCCGCGTTGTTCGAACTGTAGTAAGAAACATCTCGGCAATTGCATTCTTTATTTATGTAAGTTCATCAATGTTGTTCAGAAAATCTTTATTTTGTCTTGGATTATAATATCATCTCTCGGAAAATCTCTATAAGTATGGAATTTAAAATATCTTATTATGCCCTATAGCAAAACTCAATACACAGCTTTATCTTTTTTGGCAGCTGACATTGTAAGGAAGGAAATTACGCAGCGTAATAAACCAACTTTGTACTGAACTTATTCCCAAACGAACGCTAATTAATTTCTTTACCAACATTTGCGTACAAATTCGTTTTAAATCCCTAATTACCTATTCCGAGAACTTGTTAAGGTTATACGCATGTCCAAAGCGTTTTATGAAGAGAACATTAAAATATCAATTTCATATTGGTTTTGGGATAAGTTAACGTTACATTCTCACATGTATAAACAAATTATACATACCTTGAAAGAGTTGGAGCTATGACTTCTAAGCCTACCATCATGTAAGCTAACTAAAAGTACACCTAACAGTATACCTACTAAAGTACCTAATTAAAGATATTTAATAAAACATGCACTATTTCAGGAAACTATTTAAGGGCCCTCGCCCACGGCGACTTCTTGCCATGCGATGCAACAAGCATTGCTACCTACTAACGCGCGTTAGTCGCATTTGCAACGCAATACAGAAGTGATTCCAACGCTACTAACGCGCTACAGTAGCGCGACTGCATCGTTACAAAAAGTCGCCGTGGTCAAGGGCCCTAACTTGACAAATTGTAGTCTTAAAAATAATCTATTGTGTAAAAAAATTGACATTTGTTGTAAAAACCAAACTTTCACTTACCTATATTGTTGAAGCAGGATCAAAGCCAATACATGAAACAAAAGATAAACATTATTAGCCAGTGAAACTCATTACGATGTTATTACCCCCCCGGGATAACCGTTGCGATAATGGACGAATCAAATTCCAATTAATTCCATAATATGCTAATTTATATCTCCACAAATAACTTTGCTTTGATATTAAATTAGTTAATCCTTTTTGGGGTAGATGAAACCGCCAAAAAAGCTTATAATTAAATAACATATTAATGGCTCATCCTTTGTGAGTTATCAAAGATTGATTCGGTTTAAAATGTGGTGTTATTTTAGACTAGCTATAATTAATAATAGTAATGTATACTATTTTGTTTAACTTGTACTTGTATTTCATTAATAATTACTTTCATAACTAAGGCTGAGTTGCACCACCTAACTTTAACGATAACTGATGTTTTTGTATAGAGTTTGACAGATTTTTGACGTTTGTCAAACAAGTGCAACCCAGCCTATTTGTGTTTTCTTTTTTACAAGTATAAATCTTCTTGATAAAGGGAGAAATTATGTAACATCCAAGTCACTCCATCCAAGTTACGTACTAAATATTATGTATAAGAAATATAGAAGCTTATCGGACCGAAATGTAGAGAATAACACCACATAACACTGTCCAAAAGCACAGGATCCCTCTTGATCGCGGTTTTCTTCCAAAAAACCCAGTGCTCATCGAAACATAATGTTCATTCATTATCCACGTCCGCTATTGCATCGTGGAAGCCACGAAGGCATCTTCAACCATGATGGTAACGATTATTTTCATTATGTTTGAATTCCCCGAAATTTGATCTTGTGTTTTTTCGCAGTCATCCGGCGCGCCCCACCGGCGCCAGTCGGCCCCTTCATCCCTCCCCGGTGTGTGGTCCAAGGCACAAGTATTGTCCATGAATGGACACGAACTTTTTTACGCTATGTTTTTTTTTATTCGTTCGTTCGTTCGTTTCAGCCGAATGACGGCCTCCTCCAAGGTTTTCCACAATGAACGGTCCTGCGCTGCCCGCATCCAGGCTCTTCCCGCGACCTTCACCAGATCGTCGGTCCACCTAGTAGGAGGCCTGGCCTGTTTTTTTTATTATCTATTGATTTTCGATATTCGTTTTTTTATTATGGCTGTCAACTTTGGAAAATAGACGAAATACATTGGTGAAAACTGCATTTTATTGCTACGATAAGAATTAGAATACTTATTTCGATTAACAAGTATAAAGGAGCAACTATTTCCAACTTTACGTATTTCAAACACTTTTAACTCAGTTTTCCCTGTATGTTTTAAGATCTATTGGTAAATTTATTGATTTCAAAATATCGAATTACCTGACTTATCAAACTTACTACACTTCGCTTGTCGGGCGACTGCTCTGACCTCTGAGCTACAGAAATTGGGTAAAATAAATAAACAGATATCTTTTGACAATTTCACACAGTGCCATCTAGCCCCAAAGTATGCTTGTGTTAAGTACTAATTATACTTTTTTAAATACATACCTACATACATAGTAACACCCAAACCTGTCACAGAAATTAAAATTCACCTTTTCAATTTCTGCCCGGCTGGAAATCGAACCCGGGACCTCTCGGCACAGTAGTCCGTTTCGAACCATACCATTAATATGGGCTACGAAGCGAAGTGATCGAAAACGAAAAGTTAATCAATATTTGGAATTACGTTATTCTTATTACTGACGTTGCTATATTATGCTTGTAGATGTACGATTCCTAAGCCTGTACAGAATAAACACTAAGGCTGGGTTGTACCATCTTACTTTGACTTTAACAAAGTCAAAATCCATACAAAAAGCACCGGTTATTGTTATAGTTACGGTCAAAGTTAGGTGGTGCAACTCAACCTAAGTAAATTATAGTATCCCACTTTTCCAAACTACTTAGTCACTGTCTTAGACCTCACGAAAACTTTGAATTCCTCAGATTTTCTGAACAATAACTTTGTTCTTGTTATTCTGTATCTGAACAAGATGCCTCTTAGCGATACGCTTGTGATAAACTCGACTCGATTGTTTGGCTCAAAGTATGGAAATAGATGATATTTTATTGTTCAAAAATTATTGCTATACAAGCACGAATACTATACTATGGCTTACTTGTTAACCTTATGCTGAAGACAAGATCTATATTGGGAAAGACACCATGATTGGTTGATTTGAAAGAAAGAAAGAAAGAAAAAAAGAAAGAAAAAATGTTTATTCAGTATTTGACTAATGTTCTCGATTTTTTAAATGAATTATTTTCTTGTCGAGTGTTTTTTTCTCATTAATACCAACCAGGCTAGGATACGCGCCACTACAAAACCACATCACTTAGATTTTAGACATAAGTATCGGCATATCGTCTAAAATCGATGAAATACCTCGATAAGATTTTATCGTGGCGCGCATACTAGGACTACGATCAGAAGAAATAAAGTTCAAAATTAATTTAGATGGTTTTNCCCTTAGGACAAACTTGACCTTCACTGGTTGGGTTTTTATTGGCGGTCAAGCTGTAGATCCTGGCTACACGGGAGTTGCAGCTGGGAACGAGAGGTGGGAATAGTCACGAATGCGAGATAGGGCATGGCCCAGTTAGCGCTGATTAGCCGGCTTATTAGATGTCGGCGAAGAAGTGGCCCTGCCACTGATTGGGGTAAACAGAAGAACCTAAAAGGTCGCTGCACACGTGCCACAAAACCACCGGCGTCTTTCCTGTAGTTTTCATACATTTAATATGGACTCGTCGCACACGGTTGACGCTAAAATGACTGTCATGAATATGGTAAATAATTCTTTGAGCGGAATCATTTATCATATTCATGACAGTCATTTTACAAGGACAGAAATCTTAAGATTATTTTCATGGTTCCATTTTAGAAGATTAAAACTTAGGTGGGGTTCTCATAACATGACAGTGTTTGTTTACGATGCTGTAAAAATTAAATGATGTTAAGAAACATTGTAATATGACAAAAGGAAAGAGTTTTAGATAAGAAAAAAGTATCTACTTGTTATAAAAAAATACCAAGGAAATAGAAAAACATGGAAATGTCAATCAATTTCAGCTTCCATGGAACTAAGTCTTGGAAGCTACCTATTACTAGCATGTATTTTTATACATATTACTAAATATAACTCTTTACTTAAAACATCGGCTCGGCGGCCACTATACCTTTGCCTTTTTTAGATTTTTTTATTTAGATAAAACAAAAGAAAACTCATTTTCCTGTCGTTTGTCATCTCTGGAAAAATATAAGTTTGTATTGAGAGATAGCTGTGTGGACGCAAACATTACGTAATTTCCCGAACGCTTCCCATAAAGTTGGTAGAGTTGGTATCATTCCCACTTTTTAGGTCACGAGGTTGATTTATATTAGTGTTGTTGTTTATTTACATTGGCTGTATTAGTTTTCCCCTGGAAGAGTGTAAACATTACCTCGCCTGTTTGTATAGAGGAGGTAAGGAGCAAAATCGATGGAACCTGATACCCAAGGTCCCTTGGGAGGGGCGTCAGATAACATTGTCACAGATTTATTGCAAACGTTTGTAAAATACTATTTATTTTTTTACTTATTTAGGGATAAAAGCGGGACTTTACCACATCTCGTTCCCACCACTGCAACTCTTTTGTTGCCATTTGAAATCACATCTTCCAAAATTAAAGTTTTCCGTTTTGAAAATGTGTGTAATTGCTCAAAAATATGCTGAGCTAGTATTTCCTTATTATCATGAATTCAAGTTAGTAGAACAAATGGAAGCTTCAGGGATTTCCGTGTCAATGCAGAAACGTTTGAAGTTCGGAATTGAATCGATGATGTGGAATCCGACTCGTGAGGTCCACTGGGACGACGACCACGCAGGTGAGCGTTAGGATACTTTAAGTTTTAGACCCAGGACAGGTGAGTTCAATTTGGAATGCCATTGGCACGATGGCGTAGCAAAATTTTATAGTAATTTAATTTAAGCAATATTCATAGAATTAAAAATGT